GACACCCCCACCCCCACCGTTTGCCCGACACCCCCGCACCCATGCTCTGTGGACCCTGGAGGTGGTGTACCACCCCACCGGTGGACCCCTCACCTGTGGGGTCAGAGCACAGAGGCCTGGCCATCTGTGGCCTGTGCCGCTGACCCCAGGCCCCAGCCCCCTTCACGTCGCTCCACATAGTCTGCTCCATCCGCGGCTGGGGTGCCCAGGCTCCCCGCCCCCGGAGTGCCCCGCCCTGCCTGCCTTCCTGGGGTGGCCGGTCCCCATGGTGCTGTGACCAGGCTGACATCCCGCTGGACTGCGAGCTCCCTGAGAGCGGGGACCCCCCCGGCCCCAACTCCATGCCTGAATCGTGGAGGGCTGCCCTGTGTGGTTTGAAAAAATAAATGAACAAATGAAAAACCAGAACTTCAGTTTCCAGCCTTAGGTTTGGTGTTTCTCTCGCGTCCTCACCGCCTTCCTCAGCCCTGGGGCTGTCTTCACTCTGCTGACGGTGGCGCCGCTCCGGGGGTGGGACGGCCACCCTTGTCACCTTCCTCCCAGCTCTGACCTGACCTTCTGAGGCCGGGACTACAGACACACTAGCCTCGCCCTCCGCCCCTCCTCTGCTGGCTGCCGTTTCGAGTTGTTCAGACTGCAAGGAAGTCCCACTGGGCGTGTGGGGACCTCTGGGCCCTGGTGGTCGGTGTCCTGGCTGCTGGGCTGCGTGAGGCCTGGGACAGTTTGGTCCTTTCTCCCTCTCTGGGGCGGGGAGGGGGCGCGTGTTTAATTGGGGGAAGTGTCCACTTGAGTGCAAGACGCCGTCAGTGAGCAGCGCAAGCACAGGGCCGGGAAGGTCCCTGCGTCCAGCCCCTCCTGGCCTCTCTGGGGCAGCGGTCGCAGCCCTGTGCAGCCAGGGAGGTTCTACTAAGCTTGCTTGTTGCTGTTTGGTTTACCTGTGCTCCTGCCACCTTCTGAAGGAAAAACGTCCCCACACTCGAGTGACTGAGCTGAGGCGCCCTGGTACCTGTCATGAGACAGACATCCCGCCAGGACCGGTCATGCTCCCGAAGGTCGTCCAGCACGTCCGCTCCGATTAAAGACAGAAAGGAGCCTGACCTGCGGGGCGCGGCCCCCAGGTGTGGGGGAAAGGCAGTGTGCACGTCCCTGTGCTCCGGGGTCACGTTCCCTCGCTGCCCAGCGACCTGGGGACAGGCAGGGCAGGTGGGGCTCACACACCAGGAAAGCGTCCCAGGTTGTGACTCGAAGCACGTGCCGACGTCAGTGTCTCTGAAATGAGCAGTAGGTCACAACGAGTGCTGGGGCCTGGGGAGTCCGTCTCTTCGTCTGAAGTGTTCTCGCTGGTTTCCCAGAACTAACTGTGTTGACCTGGGCCCCTGCCCGCCTGTGGCTCATGGAGCCGGGGGTGAGGGCCCCCGGGGGCTTCTCCAGGACCAGCCGAGGAGGCCCCGGGGACACAAGCCAGCCCGC